CAAAGATTAATTACTTTGTGAACAGAACAAAATCGGAAGCATAAATCTATCTGAACTCTGAAAGTTTCTTAGACTCTAACGAATAGAGGTCACTAGCCGTGATAGATTTCTTTACCAATTTACAGGTAATATATATCTACAACAACCACCCACCAGCCTGTCACTAGCCTGAAAACCTCCTACGACTGCCAAGAGAGCCACTCTGAAAACAAAACAGAACCTAAAACTTTAGGAGAACCCATAGTTTTGAAAAAGTAACAGAACATACTCATAAAGTACATATATGTGTGTATGCTTCCTGTCTTATGTAGCAGAGGCTCAACCTTAGGGCTCTGTGCAGACCCAGCAATCACTTGTGCACTGAACGGCACGCCAGTTTTCTTACCACATTTCCATCCTCCAAGTAGTTGTTATGGGAATGTTTCCTTGAAATAATCAAGTGACCTTTCAATCTTAGATGTCTTAGGAAAGCAGTCAGTTTTCCACCTTAGAAATACCTTAATTTAACAAAGTTATTTTCTTCCGTTCTCACTTGTAACACACTGAAGTTACATTGATGCTTAGAAAATGGGGGATAGCAGACAAATTAAGTGAGATGGAAAAAAAACTAAGACCAGAATGAGGAAAAAAATGGTTGAATGTTGATGAGTGAATTTACAGGGGGATGGTAGGAAAGTGAAGTTCAGAAGAAGAAAAAAGGACGACGCTCCTCCAACCTGCTTCAGGACCTGCTGCCGTTGTCACACAGAAGGAAGCAGGATGCTTTTCTCCTCTGTGTGGCTCCCAGGTCCACCTGGTACCACTTTAAAACTCAGACATTTAATAGAATTCCTGGGGCTGGTTCAGTGACATCACTTTTTGTAGGAAAATGAGCATTACTGCAAGTAGCTTGAAGAACAGATACTTTGTCGACCGTGGTCAGCTGATGGGAGAGGACGTAGAGAAGCACAGTCATACATCAGGCAGAGAGATTCCAAGTTGAAGATCTCCAGTGGGTCCTTTCCCTTGGAGCTCAGGGAACCCTTGGAAGAGGGAGAGGAAGAAATGCAAGAAGCTGAGGGGCCCATGACTTCAGGAGAATATGACCAACAAACTTCAGCTAAACAGATCTCAGCAGTTCACAGAGGCTGAAAGGGCATCATGGAGCCTGTGTACATCTGTGCTAGATCCTCTGCATATATTTTGTGGTCATTAGCTTGATACTTTTCTGGGACCCCTAACAGTGGGATATGGGTGTCTCTGACTCTTTTGTCCATTCTTCAGACCCTTTTCTCCTTTAGGTTGACGTGAGAGTTTGTCTTATCCTGTCTTGTTATGCTGAGAATGGTAGATAATTCCTGGGAGGCCCACTCACTTCTAAAGAGAAATGGAGGAGCAGTGGATCTGGGGGAGAAGGGAGGATGGGGGTTGTTGGAGGAATGGAAGGTGGGGAAACGGTGGCTGGATGTATAAAAAATAAATAAAAGATAGTCTCATTTGAAGGGATATAGAAAACATAATTGAACCACATGATATTTGAAATATTCGATAGTTTATGTTAACAAACATGGTAGTTTGATACTGTTCAACTTAAAAGTTAGTAAGTTGATAGACTCCAAGGTTTTTTTTAAATCTATATTCACATTATCAGAATGAAAACTTGAGAAGGCATTAGTACTCTGTAAAGACAAACTTTTTTAAAAAATTGTTGAGGTTAGAGGTGTTCTAGTTACATATTCATACTATGATTGATGGTGCCATTATATCTTAAGTGAAGCTATTAAAAGATATCCTATGGCATCAATCCCCTGTGTCAAACTGTGTCCATGTCAGTTCGTTAGGTCAAACTGTGACCATGTAAGTTCATTAGGTGTATTTGTTTATTGGCTTTTGAGATGTGTTCATGCTATATAACCCTTGAATTCATGACAAGTCCCCTGTCTCTGTTTCAATGGTACTGATATAGAGGCAGGAGCTACTAGGTTCAAATCCATTTGCTATTTAGGCAGGACTTCCTTCTACACACAGCTACCTGCAGCGTAAAAATCCATGGGAGCTTTAGGTTGAGGTTCATGGCAAGTTCTAGGACACTGTAGATGAAGTCATTGTCTTGCATCACTTAATACCCACAAAAGGGTACGGTGTCCTTGCAAACATGAGATTACCTGTGCCACAAAGGAAGAAGGAAATATCACTTTTATGCTTTCCTTCTTCCTCACAAAATAGTAAGTTAAAAGTACTTTCACTTGGCAACTTGATGAACTACAGTGTCCTTTTCTTTTCTAACATTTCAAGAGTAAACTTCAAAGACAAAAATAAGATCTGTGCTCGCAGTCACACACATTATCCATTTCTGTAACTATGTGCAAAAAACAGACAATACTTGCTTTTCACAGGGTGGCAACTGGCTTTACTCTGAGCTGAGCTCTTTACTACTGTGTTTTAAAAAATAGTATTTGTTATTTACTCAAGAAGATTTTAAATTGTGATTATTTTAATATTTAAGCAGAGAGACAAAGTGCATGAGGTAGTTAGTTCAGTCCCTAACACGCAGGCACATACACACACACACACTATAAAATGCAAGCAAAATATTTTTCTTGCGAGCCCCTCCCTATATAAATGTTTACATCCTGTTCTTGTTCTTGATGGCATTATTATTATGACTTTTAAGACAATAATTCTTAGGAACTAGAGGAGGTACAACAGAGACCCGGAAGATTTTGATGATGGAAACTTTTATTTAGTTCGCAAATATTTGTAACTACCTGTTTGTGATCGGTCCTGCGCTAGGTACTTCCTCACTTCCAAAACTTCTGGAAAGCTTCTGTGTAAACACTCAAGCATTTTTTTCCTCCTTTGAGAACTCTGCATGCTTAAAATACTTCCAGTAGATAAAGAGTAGTCTGTTTTCTCTGAAAGGAGCAATTGGTGAGCTCATCTGTAAAGAGGTTCACCACACAGCATGGAGGTAAGCCCCGAGTGTCTAGTTGAATCAGCCACTAAGCTTTCAGACTGTTCCTGAGTTAGAAGGGACTTTGTACAGATGGCAGTCTTCTTGTCTAGACTTTCAATAGAGGCAGAGAGGGAAAAAATAAAAATTAAGGTGGTGAGGAAGAAGGATGAGGCTGACCATGGGAACTTATCAGAGGATCTCTGTAAACAAAATACTTAAATTACTCAGAAATTGATTCCAAAGTTTCCTTGACAATACTCCAATTTTAAAAAGGCTTCTCAAATGAATGAGGTTTGCTTTTTCAGACAACTTTTGTAATGCAGCAAAGACTTTTTATGTGATGATCACAGACTGCTTTCTCATTGCATAAACTCTCACTATTTAAAAAAACATAAACACACATCACTTCTAAACCTCTCATGACTACCGAGAACTGTCTTCTATTGCACAGATGAGGAAATGTAGCTTGGAAGAGAGGTCACGTGCTCAGCTTGACTCCTGATGGAGGATGGCTGGGACTGCATCAAAAACCCTGATTAGTACCTTTTGGTAAAAAAAAAAAAAGTTACCCAACCATGTATCTCTTCCAGATTGGCAGAGTGTGGATGGCTTTATCAGGGAAATGCCTCTGATTTTCATCATAAAACAGTGATCATACCATAAGCAAACCCTGCTCTTTCCTTCCCACATACATTCATCCCTACCTACTGCTTAACAAGTCTTCCAAGGAGAGTCATCTTTGGATTATACAGCGTGTGTGTGTGTGTGTGTGTGTGTGTGTGTGTGTGTGTGTGTGTGTGTGTGGTTTTCCTCCAGCATCTCAGCTGGGTCCAACACATTTTATCGAATAACGTGCAGGCATCACAGACTGGCTGTCAGGACCTCAGAGCCCACCTTGCTCCAGTTCTCTTAACACACTCTTGCCACATTTTACTCCAACTTTACTCCAGCTAACTAGGACCTGGGTGGGATAGGACCAAAAGCAGAAAGGTTGACCAAAGAACTCGATAATCAGACCGAAGTTGTAATGCAGTATTTAACAAGAAAGAAATCAATGCAAAAATGCTTGGTAAAAAGTATCAAAATATTAAATAAAGGCAGGACTGATACAATGCTGATTTCCCTTTGCTTCAGACTCTAAAATGCCTTTAAAGGACTCATTAGCAGCTAGAAGATTCCTGCTTATCTTGTGGTGACCTCCCACTCAGGTGTTTATACTCCTGAAGCATCCTCAAAGTTAGTTGTCAAAGCTCCTTTCCGCATCAGTTCCCTCTCTGAATGCACCAGCGTTTATCGCTAGCTCTCTTCTGTCAGGAAAACCTATTTCCCCTCGCACTTTGAAGGCAGTCTGAATCATCTTGGATACTTTCCAGAACCTTCCTAAATCACCGTGGGCAGGCACTCAGCACCTCTTCACAGAGTGCTGGTTCAAACTGGCTAAGCAGCCACTAGACCCAGTCAAGGGTTTTTGGTCTAGACTCTAGAGAGTTGTAATTATTACATTTTAAAAAATTCTCTAGCAAGATTCAATAGCCAAGATATTTTGCATGAAAAAGGCTACATATCAATCACTTATCTATTTATTTATAAAATAAAATCCGCAAACGCAGGTCTAATAGCCTTGGGCATTTCCAGCAGGCCAGCTGTGCTGTCTGCAGAGCTCTCTTAAGCTGGCCTCTTCCCTCAGCTATACTACTTTCCTGAGCGTGCCAGGCCCCATTCGCTTTTGGATTTTGTCACTCCTAAGTAAGCTTGGGACTGAATAAAACCCCACCTGCTGGGCCCACATTCCGGTAGCATGCTTTCTGGTTGTCCCTCTGAGTACTGGCTTGCAGGGGCCCACAAACTTCTCACAACCCGTGCGACTCTTAAACCGCCTTGATCTCCCTGACCCGCGTCTCCCTGCCTTCCTCCATTTGTCCCCTGAGTTCCCGGTCTGAGGCCCAGCCCGGAGCCCTGGGCCACCGATCTTTGCCCCGGGCAAGGGCGCTGTGGCTCGCCCACGGCGGCACTGGGCATGCTCATAGGCAGCGGCGGGGGGCAGGTTGACTTCGCCAGCTAGCACTCGCGGCAACCGGCTGGCGCGAGGCTGCAGCTGGAGCCCTGCTGCCGGGACTTGGAGTTGCCAGGAGTTTCCCCGACCCCTCCCTCCTCGCCGCGCGGCAGTAGGAGCCCCGCGCGCGCGGGAGCGGCGAGCAGCCAGCAGCCAGCAGCCGAGCCGGGCCAGCCTGCTCCGCAGCCCCGATCTCTCTCTGCGCGGGGCAGCCGCGGGGGAGCCGTGTCTCCGGTTGGGTTGGGACGCGTGCCGAGCACTAGGTACCGCCCGAGCACGAGCCAGGCTGCACGGTAGGCTCCGGGAGCGGGGAGGCCAGGCCACCCGGCGTACAGTGGCAGCTACCGCAGCTGGCGGCTGCGATGCCCGCCGCGGGGCAGGAGGCGAGGGTTAGGGCGCGCGGGGAGAGCTGCGCGGGCTAGTTGGGGGGCGGCGGGAAGAGGGGGCTGTACGCCTGGAGCAGCTGCTGGGTGCGCGCGGAAAAGGGTCTGGGTCTCTGATTCTCCCCCGCCCCAGCCCGGGACCGGGAGTGTGAGAAAGATTGACCACAGCCTAAGGGGCAGATTCCTGTGAGAAAGTTGGTGGTGGAGCCCTTAGGTGGAGCCGGCTCGGCAGAACGGCCCCCAAGGGTGCAGCCTGGAGGCTCCGTTATGGAGAACTCAGTGGGTCGCTGCGCCCCTAGCCAGGGCTCTCTCCGCTGAAATCAGCGAATCACCCCAATCTTTGAATCCTGTCATCTCCAGGAAGATCATTGCTGCCAAAACTGAGGCGGGTACTTCTTGTGGGCAGGCTTCCGGCCCCCATGGTTTTTGCCTCCAGACCCAACCTAAGAAGTGGCAGGGGTGGGGGTTGGGGGTCAAGGCCTCTGGGCTCCGATTTTTTTTTTTTTTCAGAGCGCTCGGAACTCTGTCTCACACATATGGTGGGTCAGCGTGGTTGGAGTGGATGCATACCTTGTTTTGTTTTGTTTTTTTTTAAACCCTCTGACTTTCCCCAGGTTTCCATCATCACAGACCCCAGAACCCAAAGGCCAGTTAGAGAGTTTAGAATGGCGCACAGTTCTTTAGGAGGGGTGCATGGGAGCTTGTTTGCCTTGGACTTCTTAACCCTCTCCTGTTACTATCGTTCTTCTACCTGGACTTTGTGGGAAGGAACAAAGCCAGGGGGGAGAGGACTGTCTGCTTCCTTACACCTTCTCCTAACGTCTTCTGGGAGACTTCAGGGCCCTGGAACCGGCCGGATGCATATTGCAAGGGTGTGGAGGGTGCCCATGATTCTCCCGGCTCCACTTCATTCACTTCTTGTTTTGAGTTTTAGGGTTTTGCCTACACACCAGTCAGAGCTGAGTTGTCACAACAGGGTGGGGTGTCGGAGACCGTGGAGGAGCCCGGTTGAAGTGTGTGGAGGCGCTTCAGCTCAGGGTCTGAGGGGTTGTTTGCCTTGCCTAGGAGGCTGCTGTGGGAAGAAATCCAGCATGATTATGCAGGCTAGAAATAAGCCTCTCCTTCTTTGTTCTGTTCTTTTCCGTTTTTATTTTCTCTTCTTCCTTTTCCTCTCTTTTGGCCAAGTACCTTAGCTGGTGGTTTTGTGTGTTGAGTTTTTAAAGGGAGCATTCACTCTGAGGAGGTGCTGATGTTTTAGAACCTCACCATTTCGGCTGTATGTGTTTCGCTTGGGTTCTTCCTTGGGAATTGTACATTTGGGAAAGATTTCCAGATGCCCGGATCCTTGGTGTGGCTATACTACTCAGGTTCTAGAGTCACACAGACAGACCTGAGCTCAAGTTTTCCCTGATGGCAGGCCTGGTGGACAAACTATTAGCCACTCTGAAGTTCAGGGTTTTTGTTATTTTGTGTTTGTAACAAACAGGAGATGATGGTGACCCTATTGCTCTCCAAATCTGTTGTGAGACTTGAATGACACATGCAAATGAAGAGAGCTAAGGAAACATTAAGAGCTATCCACACCTTAGGTATTGTCCCTGCATACTGTACCCAGTTTTTAAAAGTCTGTCTATTATTGATTATAACAAGCAGCCAGGTCTTACCCCCCAACCCCCCAACTAGGCAGTCTTCACTACAAGATTTATTTGCTGAGATCTGTGGAAACAGCCATATACACACACCTGCACAACTTCTCTTGATTTTATGGGTTGGAAATCCCTCTTTTCTGTCTGAGGGAGGCAGTGTGGTATAATGGAGGAGACCATGGGGCCTGTGTTAACACCATTCACAGTCCCCGGCCCCAGAATTGTCTGTGTCAGCAAGGCTTTCCTTTGTGATCCAGCGGTGATGATGGAATCTGCAACTGCTGCTACGGAACTCTCACTTGTCTCACTTCTCATAGTGACCTTGAACTAAGGACTCAAGCCCTCTTTGGTAAAATCAGTGTGAGATTAAACAGCAATTCAAGAGGCAAGGACAGGAGAGATCACAAGCCACCCAGTTAACAGGGATTTAATGAGGTTCCTGAGCTTCCCTAGAAGCACACTCTGAACTTAGAGCAGAAATTTCCAAATATGAGCGTCAGGCCTTGCTAACTCATAGGTCGTGGTTTCCACTCCCAATCGCTAGGTTTAGAGCAGAGCTATAGTAGTTTGTGTTTCTATCTAGTCTCAGATGGTGCGAGGCTGTTTGTTCCCCAGCCTATGCCTATGGAATCACTAACTTGTATAGGAGGAGAAAGAGACGAGGGCGGTTCCAAATTCTCAGGATTTTAGTTTTTCATGGTAGAGACAGAAGTTTCTTTCAGGAGCTTGTGGAAATTGCTTTAAGCATTTTGAACTCCAGGACAGGTGCCAGCATCCATTCCCAGTTTTGATGATTCTAGTTGCTTTACAAACAAATGATTTTATGAAAAGAGAAGATTGCCCTTTTCTTAATGTAAAGTACTTAGTCTCCGGTCTCTAGAGACTTGGTAGACGTGGTCATCACGCTTTGGTAGAGAGAGATGGGTGACCCTTGCATGTATGCAAATCTGTGGGGAAGTCTCCTGCTTATGATTGGTGTGGAAGGGCCAAGCCCACTATGGATGGTAACACCCTGAATGATGGTGAGCAAGCCAGTAAGCAGCGCTCTTCCAAGAATCCTGCTTATGTCCCTGCTTGACTTCCTGCCCAGACTTCCCTCAGTGACGAACTGTGATTGGGACATGTAAACCAAATAAACCGTTTCTTCCCCAAGTTGCTTTTGGTCATGATGCTTATCGTAGTGACAGAGAGCAAGTTAATACAGCCTGTTACTTCCAACAAGTGTTCTAGTTCCTTCTTGGAGGCTCTTGGACTTTGTGGAAAGTTTGTACACAGCATTGACGGTTGGATCTATGTGGTTACGAGACAGGTAAAATCACCTGGAAGCACGTTTATGGAGGAGTTGTAGCAATGTTTTCTCCGAACAGCCAGCTTGCTCAGGCCATCTGGAAGTGTGAAGTGGGCCCTGTGGCAGTTGACCCATGATGATCACACTTAGCCATGGCCTTCCATGCCTTTCTGGAGGATGGTGGCCTTGGCAGTGACCTACAGCTTTCAGAGGCAACTATGCATTATCAGCAGGGTGCCAGAGTGAATTCGTTTTTTAACATTGTTTGGACTCAACTAATCCAAAGCATTTTTCCTTGTCTCCCACACTATGAATGGTCCCGTGCAGAGAGATTTTACTATGACTTTCTGTGACCTAGATAGTGGTCTGCATTTTAACTACTTTGCATCAGAGAGGCACCAGGAGCCTGCTTGAGGCAGGACAGCTCATGAGGAAGAAATAATGTTTATATAACCCAGCACCTAAATCCGGGTGTATGAGATCAGTCAGCACTTTCACTGTTTCTTATGTTGCTATGCCAAATGGAATCCCGGCTCACCCTCAAGCTTTATCTTAGCTTTCCATTTGTGTTTTGTTTTAGCATTAAAATGATTAACAGTGGGGAAACCAATCAGTTAATCAGAAACCTATTCAAAACCTCAAGTGTACCACTTAATGTTTTAGTTGATAAGACTGAAGGCCCAAGCCTGCCTTCCTGACTGTAATCAACACTTGGTGAAGGAACAGTTGCCATTCTTAAGATTCAATAGCTCCTCTAGATACCTTTTTCCTCTTAGCAAAAGCAGTAGCGTTTCAGCTTTAAAGTTCCTTCCCAAAACTTGATGTGTGTATTTTGGGTGACTCCCTTATTTTTTTGTTTATTCATTCATTCATTCATTCATTCATTCATTCATTTATTCATTCATTTTCTTTGCCTTTCGTGTGACTGTGGAAGGTCCTTTTCTTGTTGCTGCTGTTTAATTTTCTCAGCAGTAACTCTCTGGTATCTTTGTTCCCTTCATAAGTCTATTGTGAGACAATCGTTGTCATATTTCATTTCTCTTTGCTTGTCACTGTTGGTACTGGGTCACAGAGAGTTAAAGCCTGGCCCAGAAGCACCATTCTCCACCTTCCTGAGAGGGCTCTTACACAAAAAATCCCCTGGACCGCTGTCCTAGCTCACTTGTAAAATACATTTGTTTGTTATTTGGTTTTCATTTTCGCGTTTTCGGAAAGGCAGATAGCTTAAACATTATGAATCTTTGTGTTTTTTTCTTTTGTAGCACACTAACAGTGTCTACTGCAGATGACATTAGAAAATAAAGCAAATGTACTTTGTTATCCCCATATAAACTGTATTCTCTTCAGTGCTGTCCAGCTGATAGAATTGAGCAGCAATTGGATTAGCTCAGCAAATTCGCAATGTGTTGGAAGGATGCTGTAGGGGGTGGATGTTAATAGGAATGCTCTTCTAAAGGACAAATCAATTTGGGGAGGATCACCTATTATTTCCCTCTCATACAGAGACTCCCAACATGTGTACCATCATCTCAAAGAAACTGAGATGCACCCCATTGAAAACTATCAACAAATATTCATTCATGTTTATTCAAGTCAGAATCTCCCGCATCACAAAAGACTGTTGAGGTTGTGTCTCTTAGGGGATGTATTACTAAATCAGGACATGCTAACAATTGTAATATTCTCCCTAATACTATTATGGATAAAATGGTCTCACTTGCTATATTCCTAAAGGGTTAGGTGTTAGGAATATGGCTCGAGCTGTCACCTAGGTTGATCCCATGACAGGAGGACAAACACACCATCAGACAGAACTTATATGGAAAGGAAGTTTTATTGGTGAAGGTAAGGGGGTAAGGGAAGAGAGAAGAGAGGAAGAGACAGAGACAGGGCACTGCTTGCCATGCGCAGAAGCAGCACACTTTGCCAGCCCCCCAAGGGGCGGGGTCAGGGTTGCCTGGATGGCAACATCCGGA